TGGCCAATAGCAACAACACTCTCCTCCTGGCTTTCACAAATGCATTTTTCGGGTAGAAGGCAGTCAGGTGATGGTGGGAGGTGATCGGGAGAGAAAACAAGGCAGTAAGGAATCAGGGTGTACTGACAGGGGAAGTGAGTCCGCGGGAGATCTGCAAGGTTGGAGTAAGCCTCCGCTCTCATCAGCACCCCTCCATTGAACTATCCCTTACTTTTTGCAGTAGGTCAATGGACTTACAACCTCTGTCCCATCTTTTTCAGACAGTAGTCCTTGATGGTGAGTCTGCTTTTCACGTTTATACCTCCCATTGTCTCATCTTTTGCTTTTTTATTTATTCATGGGATATGGGTGACATTGGCTGGGCCAGCATTTATTGCTTGTCCCTATTTGCCCTTGAGTAGGTGGTGAGCTTCCTTCTTGAACTGCTGCAATCTGATTGTGTAAGTTCACCTGCAATGCTAGTAGCAAGGGAGATATTACTTGTCACATTCCCTTTTCTTCTTCCTCGCACCATCATCTATTTTGTCATTTCATCTCTCCTGCCTTCTAGCCAATCATAGCCCTTCTCTTTTGTTCTCTCAGCCCCCCTCTCTTCCCTTGCTTCTGCATTCACTTTAAACCTGTTGCATTTCAAGTTCTTTCAAGTTCCAATTACATGTTATTGACCTGAAATGTCAACTCTGTCTCTCTACAGCACAGATAATGCCCAATCTAATGAATATCTCCAGCACTTTCTGTTTTTATTTTAGATTTCCAGTATGCACAGTATTTTACTTTTCTACGACAGAATCGGACCTCAGCTTAGTCACCTTCTATGTTGTAAATTTCCATGTTTTCATTCTGCAATTGGCTGAAACCCCAAGATATTGTGACTTTTCATTTTGAATAGTAACAATTCTATTTCGTTTCTATAAATGTTCATCTATTTTCCCTCTGAAACAAAAATTAAAACATTTAGAATCACAATGATTACAGCAGGCAATGGCCATTCAGCCCATTAGGCTATGTCAGCTCAATGGTAGAGCAATCTAACTCAATACACTCATTCTCCTTTTTCTCCATAGCCCTTCATTTTTTTCCCTTTGTGTGCTTATCCCACTTCCCTTTCTCCAGATACAAATGATTCTGCTTCCACCACCTTTACAAGCAGTTGTATTCAAGGTTGTAACTATTTACTTCATTTAAAAAGGTTTCCTCATGGCAACTTTAGTTTCTTTTGGTGATAACTTTCAATTTGTATCCTCTGGTTCTCTGTTTGTGTCAATGCAAACAGTTTTTCTCAATCTAGTCTTTCTGGACCCTTGTGATTTTGAATAGTTTAATAAGAGGAACAGTCTCACATCAGCAACCTCTGTGATTGCTAGAAAACACTGTAATTCAGGATATTAATCATGCAAGGCTTGAACAGATTTGAAAAACAGCAATAGTTGATGAATAAATTACAACATTGCTTTAGAGCAGTGATTCTATATCAAAACTGCTTCATTAACTGCAAAGTGTTTTTGACAGCTTGTTGTCATGAAAGTCATTATCCCCAGCATTGATGGGGCATAAAACAGCCTGAAAGAGATTTACAAGAATGATTCATGACTTGAAAGGTTTCTTTGTCAGCACCTTCAAAACCCATAACCTCTATTACCTAGAAGGGGAAGGATAGCCGATACATACAAACACCACGAGCTGCAAGTTCCCATTTAAGGCATCCTCATTCGGAAATATATTGCTGTTCCTTCAGTCCCGCTGGAACAATATCCTAGAATACTCTCCCCAGTAGCATTGTGGGTCTACCTACAGCACACAGTGCAGCAGTTAAAGAAGGCAGTTCACAACCATCTTCTCAAGGGCAACTAGGACCAGGCAACAAATGTAGGCCAGCCTCCGATTTCCACATCCCACAAGTAAATATAACAAAACTATATCACCATTCCTTCACTATCGCTGGATCAAAATCCTGGCATTCCCTTTGTGTGGTGGGTGCTGCACCAAGGACTGCAGTGGTTCAAGACTGCAATTCACCACTGCATTCTCCAGCGCAATTAGGGATGGGCACTAAATGTTGCAGCAGGCCGTGACACCTGTAATAATTGTAATGAGGTCAGCCAGGTGGACCTCATAGAATATGAGTTCCCTGATTGGGGCTGTTAATCTGGTCCAATCAGGGAGCCTTGGCTGACAGATAACAACAGGAGTCTCAGACATCCTGCTCACTCTGAGAGCTGGCTTTGAGGGAGCTGGATCAGTGTCAAGGATTCTCCACCCGTACATAAGGGGTGACTTGGTGACAGGATACTGGCCCCTCTGGAGTTATTTCAGTAGCGGAGAGAAATGCTGCTCCTGAAGAAATTTCCTTGCAATGTCATTGAGTTTGTCTAGTACCATGCCATTATTTGGGAAGCTTCACTCATTTAATCCTGCCATCGAAGGCTGGACCCAGTATGTGAAAAGAATGCATTTTTTTTAATGGACAAATGACACTAGGGAAGATGAAGAGCAATGAATAAATCCCTTGACAGCTTGTGGACCCGCTGCTTTGTTGGTTATTAGGAGCCTAACTTGCCCTGAGGCACCAGATACTAAAATCTTTCAAGAGTTGATAGATATAGTTAAGGAATATTATAACCCCAAGCCTGCTCTAATACTAAGTGTGTATAATTATGAGTTGGAACACCATCCGGGAGGTCAAATCTGGATGCATTGAGCCACCTCCCACTGGGAGATACACCATCCAGTACCACCACTGGAAGAGTCCGTAATGGTTTTAAATTTTCTAGACACACTTCCAATTACAGCTGACAATATCAGACTTTGGGCGCAGAAAGATTCGGTCCTGGCAAAACTGAAATAGCTGGTGATGATGGGAGATACCAAAGGGCAGTCACAACCAGAACTCAAGCCTTTTTAGATCCAGAGAGACCAGATCTCATTAGAACGGCATATTATTATGGGGAGCAAGAGTGATTGTTCCGACCAAAGTTCATCGCCAGATACTGGCTGAACTCCACCAGGCTCATCCAGGGATTTCCAAAATGAAGGTGTTGCTGAGAAGTTATGTTGGTGGCCAGGAGTGGATGCAGGCATAGCTGTGTTGGTGAGGCAGTGCCCAGAGTGCCAACAAGGACAAAAATTACTGCCAGCAGGTCCCCAACATTCACGGGAATGGCCAGGTAAACCCTGGACTCGGTTTCACATTAACTATGTTGATCTTTTCATGGGCTCAATGTTCTTAGTCAGTGTGGATGCCCACTCAAAGTGGCTGGACATGCATTGAGTTCATTTATCAAACATGGGGATAATGATAGAAAAACTGTGCATCTTTTGCAGTACACAGACCCCTGGAAGTGTTGGTCACAGATAATAGGCCATCATTTACCAGCAGCGAATTTGAGTATTTCCTAAAGTCGAAAGGCATTCAGCATACAAGGATAGCTCCATTGATCCATCATCCAATGGTCTGGCAGAAGGAGCAGTCCAAACTTTGAAGGCAGGCTTAAAGAAACAGCCTAAGGCTTCACTAGATACTAAACTGTTTCCTATTTGATTATTGGACCACCCCTTGTGCAACTACAGGGACAGCTCCAGTAGTGTTGCTAATGGGGAGAAGATTCTGCACCAAGTTCGATCTGATCTTCCCAGACCTGGCATGGGGAGGGTGAAACGGCATCAGGAACATCAATGTGAGACACAAGACTCTGCCAGGCTAGAAAAACAGTTTACTTCAGGGGTTGAAATTTGGTGTAGAAACCACAGAAATGGCCCTGCATGGATTAGAGGCATGGTCAACTCAAGGTCAGTTCCAGTGATGTATACATTTTGGGTAGGTGTGATACATCTCATGTGGACCATACGGAAGCTGCAAACCCACAAATGGAGTGAGAGTAAAATATGCTCGGCTCCTCGGCAGTCTTTCCGACTGCTGCAGAACCCATGGGTTCTCCTTCTCCATCAAGCATTGAAGATACCTCAGAATCTGAGATGGACCTGGTGGACACACCTCGACACCTTTGCTGTCTGAAGAATGAATTTCTTCTGGGACGCTCTGGGCGCAAGAGGTGAGCTACTGTGTTATACCCGCCCGTATCAGAGGCAGAGTTGGAGGAATTTGATTCGGTGCTAAAATGCCCCAGGAGGAACTACAAAAAAAACCCAGCCTATGCACTCAAACTGAGAGGGGGAGGAATGTAGTGATTGTGACAAGGTCAGCCAGGTGGACCTCATAGAATATGACTTCTCTGAATGGAGCTGTTAACCTGGACCGATCAGGGAGCCCTGGCTGACAGATATAGAAATGTCAGACATCCGTTCACTTTGAGAGCTGGCTCTGAGGGAGCTGGATCAGTGTCAAGGACTCTCTACATGTAAATAAGGGGTGACTTGATGACAGGATACCAGCCTCTGTGGAATTACTTCAGCTCTCACATTCCATAAACAAATAAATAAAATTAAATACAAGTCTATTGTTTTTTCTTCATTAGTGTCAGAGACATTTAACATTGGAAAGGATGCAAAAAGGAGCTGCAAGGCTGATCGAAACTCTTAGGAGTTGGAGCAGTAAGAAAAAAGCAATTGGAAAATAAATATTTTTCAATCTTGAATGGAGGCATTGGAGAGGTAACCTTTAGGGATTATCTGGTCCTTACTGCATTGTTATTTGTAGGAACAAACAGTAGTATGCAAATTGACTGCTGTGTTTCTTATGCCTCAGCAGTGACTACTTGTCAATCCAAGGTCACCCATCCCACTCTCATTATGACGTCAACAGGAACAGATGACTTCATTTCCAATCCTATTGTGACATCAGCAAAAGGGCCACCCCATTCCAATCCCAAAATGACGTCATCAGGATACACATTTCCAGGGCCATTATGACGTCAGCAGGAACAGGGGACAACATTCCAACCCTAGTGTGGCGTCATCAGGAGGCGAGAACCCCATTCCAATCCCATTGTGATGTAAGCCGCTGTTACCCACCGCAGTGACGACACTTCCGTGCTGACATCAGGTTCGGTTGCAGTACCAAGTTGGTGTGAGAGGGCGAGCCCGGTGACGTCAGAGGCACTCAGACAGCAGCAGACAGTGGGATTGTGAATACAAAGCTGGAGCCTTCGTTCCCGGGTAGGTGAAAGCTTGTCCTTATATTCTCCTCTCACTGCGATCCAAAAGAAGAAGATTGCAGTTTGATTTGAAGTTTGCTTGCAGAATTGTAGAGGGAGGTGCCGATGAGATGGATATGAGCTGTGTGTGTGAGGGAGAAGGGCTGCAGCAGATTTGCTCACAACACATTGACTCATTCTCCATGTAATTGTCACCCGCACCTCGCGGGTCTGCACCGTATGCCGTTTAAAATTAGAACTCGGATGTTTTCGCCTTCCACAGTTCACCTTTATTGCTGTGAGCTTGCTAGTTTTCTGAGATCTTTAGCTAAAAGAGGATTTCTGATCTGTTCCGAGGATTGTGTTGGGCGACAATTTCGGCAGGAGCAGCCTTTCATTCTGAAAGCTTTCAAGTCCCGTTATTAGTCTTGTAAATCAAACATCGGACGGCTGGAGGATCCTCCAAAAGAAAAAAAGGCCGAGCACTTAGATATGTTCGCTTGTTATTCCTCTCCCTCCCCCTCTGTCTCTTCGTTTCCTCTGGCACTGACCTTATTTTGAAGTGTTCCTTTATAACAAAGCTGCTACCAAATGTTACAAACAAACACTGGGCTGTAAACGCAGTGAGGTCGCCAGACTCTGTCTGCACTTGCCAGTCAGATGTATTTTAAAAGAGACAGTTCTTAAGGTGTTACATTGTTTTACATTGTTTTCTACCCCATCATCGAAAGCTTGTAGCGGAAAGCTCTGCTATATTTGGTAATCAGTGCACCAGAAATGAATCCGACACTAGTCCCGCTTATCTACTTTTATTGAAAAAGGATTCGTGAGAAAGATGCCTACTCCCTTCCAGTTAGCTGGGATTGTATTCCGTTCCTTCCCAAATGAAACGTTTTCTTTTAAGTTTTAGCTAGTAATGATCCACTTTGTAAACTGCGGTTTATCCTGGGGTGCGCTTTCCTCTTAAGTTCATGAACTTAAGTTTGATGTTGATTCGAAAATGTTGGTTCAAAATATCCTTCTTTCTCCAAATTCCATTCGAGAGTACTCGCTTCCCCCTCACCCCCATTGTTTAGGGACTGATATGTATTGGGGAGCGGATATTGACAGCCCAGACTATCAAATGGGCAATTTGGTGCTGCCATAACCTTATACAGGTGTAACTACAGGGTGCGCATTGTTTGGGCTTTTTTCTTCTTTGTTGGGATTTGATGGAATGTTTCTTTTTTCTCAAAGCAGCCTCTATTTACCTGCCGTGTTCACAGAACACTTTTTATAGACTCAAAACCTTTTACTGTTACAAACCTGTGCTGGATTCATACTTTGTGGAATTGTGTATATGATGTTTCGATATGAATTATGTAGGGAAAAATAGCTCAATAAAACATTTCTACAAGAGAATTTCTGGGTACCATGCTTTCACAAGTGAGATCCGTGTAAGGATTATATACATTATCAATGTTCATATAAGTGAATGAAATCTAATTTGATGTGATGTGCAGTCTTTGTGTGTGTTCTCTGGGATCCTAATACTTCTGTAGAAGCGTAATTGTTTTTATAACTTCTGGTTCAGCGGCTCAATGGTTTGGTCATTTTGATATGATCTGACAGTCATGATTCCAACAATACTAATTTGGGGTAAAATGAAAAGTAACAGGTTTGAGATAGGAGGTGATGACTCCACATTTACACCATCCTAACTTGGCAATGTATCACCATTTTTTCAGTGCTGCTGGGTCAAAATCCTGGAAATATCTCCCCAACTGAATTGTGGACCTATAAGATGACAGAATATAGGAGTAGAATTGGACAATTTGGCCCATTGAGTCTGTTCCACCATTGGCTGATATGTTTCTCAACCCCATTCTCCTGCCTTCTCCCCATAACCCTTGATCCCCTTACTAATCAAAAAGCAATCTATCTCTGTCTTAAATACACTCAATGACTTGGCCTCCACAGCCTTCTTTGGCAATGCATTCCACAGATTAGACACACTCTGGCTGAAGAAATTCCTCCTCATCTCGGTTCTAAAGTGTCGTCCCTTCACCCTGAGGCTGTGCCCTCGGGTTCTAGTCTCTCCTGTGGAAACATCTTCTCCATGTCCACTCTATCCAGGCATCTCAGTATGCTATAAGATCTCCCCTCATCCTTCTAAACTCCACTGAATACAGACACAGAGTCCTCAACCACTCATCATATGACAAATCCTTCATTGCTGGCATCATTCTTGTAAACCTCCTCTGGAACCCATCGTTCCTTAGATACAGAGCCCAAAACTGCTCACAATATTCCACATGCGATCTGACTATACAGCCTCACCAGTACATCCCTGCTGTTGTATTCTAGCCTCCTTGAAATGAATGCTAACATTGAATTTGCCTTCCTAACTGCCAGCTGAACCTGTGTATAAATTTTAAGAGAATCCTGAACCACAACTCCCAAGAACCTTTGCACTTCAGATCTCCAAAGCCTTTCTCATTTCGGAAATAGTCTATGCCTCTATTCTTCCGATCAAAGTGCAAAATCTCACACTTTCCCACTTGTATTCTTTTCCCACTCCTAGCTTGTCCAAGTCCCTCTGCAGCCTCCCAGCTTCCTCAACACTACCTGTCCCTCCAATTATCTTTGTGCCACCTGCAAACTTAGCAACAATGCCCTCAGTTCCTTTGTCCAAATTGTTAACGGTATAATGTGAATAGTTGTGGTCCCAAAACAGACCCCTGCGGAACTCCACTAGTAACCAGCTAACATTCTGAAAAAAGCCTTTATTCCTATTCTCTGCCTCTGCCAGTCAGCCAATCCTCTATCCATGCCAGTACCTTGCCCTAACACCATGGGCTTTTATCTTATTTAACAGCCTCCTATGCGGCACCTTGTCAAAGACCTTCTGGAAATCCAAAGAGATCACATCCTGTGGCTCTCCTTTATCTAACTTGCTTATTACCTTTCAGAGAATTCTAACAGATTTGTCAGCATGACCTCCTCTTGACAAAGCAGTGCTAACTCAGCCCTATTTTACTATGCACTTCTAAGTACTCCACAATCTTATCCTTAATATTGGATTCTAAAATTTTACCAGTGACCAAGGTCAGGCTAACCAGCCTGTAATTTCCCCGCTTCTGACTCCCTCCCTTCTTAAACAGAGGTGTTACATTAGCCAGTTTACAGTCCTCTGGGATTCTCCCTGACTCCAGTGAATCCCCTAAGATCAATGCCTCCACAATTCTCAGCTACCTACTTACTATTGATTAAATTTCATTTCTTACTAACAATGCAACCCTGATCCCTCTGCCCATCTGCCTGTCCTTTTGGTAAGATGTGTATCCTTGGATAGTTAGTTCCCAGCCCTGATCCACTTACAACCACATCTCTGTGCTACCTACAATGTCCTACCTGCCAATTTCAATCTGCATTGCAAACTAGTTTACCTTGTTTCATATACTGCATGCATTTAAGTACAACACCCTCAGTCCTGCTTTGGCTGCCACCCTTCTCAGAGTCAACAAGGTGCAGGGCTGGATGAACACAGCAGGCCAAGCAGCATCATAGGAGCAGAGAGGCTGACGTTTCGGGCCTAGACCCTTCATCAGAAAAGGGGGAGGGGAAGGGAGTTTTGAAATAAATAGGGAGAGAGTGGGAGGTGGATAGAAGAGGGATAGAGGAGAGGATAGGTGGAGAGGAAACAAACAGGTCGAAGAGGCGGGGATGGAGCCAGTAAAGGTGAGTGTAGGTAGGGTGTTAGGAAGGGGATAGGTCAGTCCAGGGAGGACGGACAGGTCAAGGGGGCGGGATGAGGTTGGTCGGTAGGAGATGGAGGTGTGGCTTGAGGTGGGAGGAGGGGATAGGTGGGAGGAAGAACAGGTTAGGGAGGCAGGGACGGGCTGGACTGGTTTTGGGATGTGGTGGGGGGAGGGGAGATTTTGAAACTTGTGAAATCCACACTGATACCATTGGGCTGCAGGGTTCCCAAGCGGAATATGAGTTGCTGTTCCTGCAACCTTCGGGTGGCATCGTTGTGGCACTGCAGGAGGCCCAGGATGGACATGTCGTCTGAGGAAAGGGAGGGGGAGTTGAAATGGTTCGCGACTGGGAGGTGCAGTTGTTTGTTGCGAACCGAGCGTAGGTGTTCTTTAAAGCGGTCCCCGAGTCTCCGCTTGGTTTCCCCGATGTAGAGGAAGCCACACCGGGTACAGCGGATGCAGTATACCACATTGGCAGATGTGCAGGTGAACATCTGCTTGATGTGGAAAGTCTTCTTGGGGCCTGGGATGGGGGTGAGGGAGGAGGTATGGGGGCAGGTGTAGCACTTCCTGCGGTTGCAGGGAAAAGTGCCGGGTGTGGTGGAGCTGGAAGAGAGTGTGGAGCGGACAAGGGAGTCACGGAGAGAGTTGTCCCTCCGGAAAGCAGATAAGGGTGGGGAGGGAAAGATGTCTTTGGTGGTGGGGTCGGATTGCAGATGGCGGAAGTGTCGGAGGATGATGCGTTGGATCCGGAGGTTGGTGGGGTGGTACGTGAGGACGAGGGGGATTCTTTTTTGGTTATTATTGCGTGGACGGGGTGTGAGGGATGAGGTGCGGGAGATGTGGGAGACACGGTTGAGGGCGTTCTCGACCACCGAGGAGGGGAAGTTACGGTCCTTGAAAAACCGTGTCTGAAGTTGGATTCCTGAGCCTTTCAATTCTTTGTATCCCATTACTTGTTCTGGAAACTTCACACAGACACACACGCCCTTACTTCTTTGTACAGATCTTAGATTTAGTGATACAATTAGGCATGGGCAATTAATGCTGATTGAGCTAGCATTGCCCACATTCCATGAATAAAACAGTGAAACTACGGTGAGCGGAAACTGTTTACATTTAGAAGCCCAGCCATCATACATTTTAACAACAGGCCAAGCAGCATCATAGGAGCAGAGAGGCTCTGCTCCTATGATGCTGCTTGGCCTGCTGTGTTCATCCAGCCCTGCACCTTGTTGTCTCGGATTCTCCAGCATCTGCAGTTCCTACTATCTCTGATACA